CTAGGGTAGACGGCGTCTAGGGTTTAGGGTAGGGAGAGGAGAAGGCAGCGGCAGGAGAGGGAGGGGCGGCTGCAGGGTGGGAAAGAGGTGCAGTGGCAGGTTACGGTGGCAGCGGCGCTGGTAAGGTGCGGCAGCGGCAGGAGGTGTGCAGCGGCGGCTGCAAGGTGCGGCAGCGGCGGTGGCAAAGTGCGGCAGCGATAGGAGATGGAGGGGAAAGGGGTGCGGCGGCGGCAGGTTGCGGCAGCGGCGACGCTGGCAAGGGGCAGCGGCGGTGGCAAGGTGTGGCGGTGGCAGGAGGTGAGCGGAAGCGATGAGGATCGCGTGCTAAACTGATACCACGTTAGATGGGAAAGTAGGGTTCGTATGTTCAACACTTGCAAATGAAAGAGGTATTGGAAGTGGGGGATACAAAGGCGTTAGGGTGTTGTCAATTAAAGCAATCAAGCCAACAGGTGGGAGAGGGTAGTAGTGATTTTATAGCGAATTTCATAACCATAAAGTTATTTTGTGTATGCAGGTTTTTTTTTCCAAAACCATCGCATTTTTCCGGTTTGCAAACAGTCTTTCAAGCAATTAGCAGGTTTCCTCGGTAGTCCAAAAGAAGCCTCTTCTGAGAGCGTCGATTTTCTTCAAGACATATGGATTCTGATTATGTCCACCCCAATAATGCACTGGTAGCGACCTAATAATGGTTAGGCCGGCCTAATGCTCCCCTGTCTCCACACTTAACGAACTGCTTTCGCTGGAGAAAGATACATGCGGGCCACTCCAGCGCTCACTTTTGCCGCCATTGATGCACGTGGGGGCATGATGCAAAAGCTACAATAGCTTGTTAATTGATGGCTCCTATAACTGAGCTCTGACTAAACTAAGCGTTTCGTTTGAAGCAGATGCATGATCACCAAGCCGGCCGCCACATCCTTATCCTAGCAGTCAGAATCTAGGTATTATATAACTTGTATGCATTTTTAATTGTTTTACGTAGACATTAAAATTTTTGCACGCGCATGTGTGTATAGGGGGGAGGGGGTGGGGTCATTGGACCATAATGATGAGCCACTTGGTCATGGTTTCTTGTAGGGAAGCACAGGCTCTCGATCTCTCGCACAAGCTAGGAGCATCGTGCATTGAAGCTCTGTATATCGATATGAAGTATGAACGACACCCCTTATATCTTTGCCGATGTTTGATGTTGCTGTGCTGATCATTTTAGGTACATCGATCGTTAGCAATTTACCCCGTGACAAGCTGATCCGGTCTCTGTACTCTCGGTGCAAAAAGGAACCTGCAAGCTAGCTAGCTAGCTAAAATGGACCGCATGCATTCTTTCCTGGAGGAGTCTGCATATATATATATCCTACTTAACGTCGGTGATTGGGAGTCTATGAAAAGTTTTCCTAACGTACGTGCCCCAAAAATATAGATTGCTCGATCGGTGCAAGCAAGGAACAGAGGTGGAGTCGTGTCGAGGGAATGATCCAGGGTGTTGTAGTGATAAAAGGGCATGGAAGCTGCGCGATTAGTTGACACTACGCACGCATTCATTCGCAGGCATAGCTGGTGTTCAGTTTGTTGGGCGGCATCATGTGGGTGCATGTGCTCGGTGCAACCACAAACAAAAAAGCTAGCGAGCTACCTATAGCCACAAGCCTACACCCATGCACGCATGCTCTATCTACTCACTGATCTCTCTTCTCTCTGAAAAAGAAAAGAGGCCATGTGTGCAACAATAGATGGCGCCTACCATATGCATACACATATGCATACGATACGAACATCTGCCGACCACACAGCGCATGCAAGCTAAGCTCCCCGTCAAAGCCAGCCGGCGAGCGCACGCCGCGCCGCAAACCCGCAATAGAGAACCTGGCGCGCTGCGGTGACATAGCGGCAGTGTCTCGCCAACCGCAGGAACGGTGCCATTAGAATACGCCGCGCCCCTATATATCTTTCTGTAGGTGGTTCGTGGCGACGCTTCGGACATTCGCATATGGGGGAGTGCCGGCGCATGAACACACACATGATTGCTGCGCGTATCGGCAGGCGCATGTTCTCCCCGATACATCCCTATCAAAGCATAGCGCAGAAACAACAAAGATTGCGGCTATATATGCGTGCACTCATTGCCCTGCACGAACGATGCATGCGAGCTTCCGTCCAAGACTAGTCTTCTCTTCTTCGGCCTCTTTTCCCTCCTTGCTGTGGTCGACGGACGACCGGAGGAGGGATTGAGCTGGGCCGAGAAGAGGATGAACGGGAGTAGCAGGAGCAAGGAGGCGGGCGAGAAGCGTTTCCTTGAAGATTCTAGGGTACTGGTGAAGCAAGTGAGGGAGCTGAGGAGGCTGGTGCCCTGCTGCCACGAGCCGTGCGGGCTCGGCGAGCTGTTCCAGGATGCGGCGAGCCACATCGAGGATTTGCAGGTGCAGGTCAAGGTCATGAGGATGCTGCTCGACAAGCTCTCAGACGACTGATCCAGTGATCCATGCGCGTGCAAACAATGGCAAATTTGTGGACGCTCTGTCGATGTATGAATGGATCCACAGCGACAAACATACTATTTATTTATAATCCCATTCATTTGTTTGAATTATTATTATTATTACTTATTTAGTTCTCCTTTACGTTCGATAGGGCAAATTTCATTGCTATGCTCTTTGATTCATCTATGCTATCAGGGTGTGTGTATCTGCGTTGCGATTTCCAGTGAGTTGAAATGAATAAATTTGCACTTTGCTTCAATCTAGGCTGGCTACTTGTACGGTTGTACCGCACAGAGCTTGTTTTGTTGTCTATATCAGTTATGCAATGAAGGCCCAATTATTTTGTTGACTTCATTACAGGGGTTCAAACGACGCGAGTGCTGTATCATCGTTGCATCGCGGCACTGTTAGCCACTGCGCTGACTTCGAGTTCCGGTACAATTCATCAGGCGCGGTCTACTAGAAGGAATAGAGCCGGCTTTTACACAAAATTTTTATTTCTTTCTTCGGTTTTTGTATCTTTCCTGGTTTTCAATGCTTTTTTTCTTTTCTTTCTCCATTTCTTCTGTTTTATTCGGTTTATTTTTATTTTTTCTTCTCCTTTTTTCACTCCTTTTGCATTTGTTTCTTCGGTTTTATTTTTCATTTTCATTTTTCTTTGGTTTATTTAATGTTTTTTTTGCTTTTCTTTCTTTTTTTAGTTTTTATTCTACATTTTTGTATATGTCAACAACATTTTTCTGATACAAGTATAACATTATTTTGTTACAAATAGTCAACATTTTTCCTATACACATCTTTCAAATACTTGATTAATATTTTTAAGCGCAAGATTAATTTTTTTTAATAAATGGTCAATATTGTTCCTACACACACTTTAAACTTTTTCAAATGCTTCATTAATATTTTTTTAAAACAAGATCAACAATTTTGAAATACATGGTCAACATTTTCTCTATTTACCTTTAACATTTTTCAAATGCTTCATTACGATTTTTTAATGCAATATTAATATATTTTTTAACACATGGTTGATATTTTTTCTAAACACATCTATCATCTTTAAAATGTGCAATATTAATATATTTTTGAACACATGGTTGAAATTTTTCTAAACACATTTATCATCTTTAAAATGCTTGATTAACATTTTTCAATTACTTGTTCAACACTTTTTGAAATGCTTGATTAACATTTTTACATACATCATAAAAAGAATCATTATTTTTTCAATACATGATCAACATTTTTCTGTACACATTTAATAGTTTTCAAATACTTGTTCAATATTTTTGTCAAATACTTTATTTGCATTTTTATAAACATGATCAAATTTCATTCATCATTTTTTTAATACATGGTCAGCACTTTTTTGTACACATTTAACATTTTCCAAATGCTTGCTTAACATTTTTCAAACATTTGGTCAACATTTTTTTCAAATGCTTGATTAAATTTTTAAAAATACATGATCTATTTTTTATTTTTTGTATACATTTTTCACATACATGATAAAAAATTTCTCTATACACATTTAACATTTTTCAAATGTTTATGTAGATAGATTTTTGCAATAAATTTATTTTTGAATATTTGGGAGTATAAAGAAACTTAAAAAATAAAGCAAAAAACTTAATAAAAAAGAAAACAAAGTTGTTGTTTTCCACGCACCTCGGCTGGCCCAACTTATGTCTTGCTGAATGCAAGACATAAGGGTTCCCTTCAAATGAATGCGGACGACAGAAAGCTGGGGAGATTACAGCCTACGGGAGAAGCCACAGAAAAACTGGCCCAAGACCGCTACATATAGAAAAAGTTTAGGCCTAGTTTGGCAACACATTTTTTCCAAAACCATGGTAATTGAAAACCTCGGTATTCCAATGTGTGGGCGATGAATACTTTGGTTTCTAAAAACCACAGTTTTTCTCAGTTTTAGCAAAACTATAGAGATGTTTGGCAAGTGCAATTTTCTTAGTTTCTTGGTTTCGACCACTCGTTGCATGGATAATCCTATATATAGCTAGCTGAACCAAATTGAGCTACAGCAAAGTTGTTATACAATGACGTGATCAGCTTGTGCTAATTAAGGGTCGATGCAAGCCTATAGCCTTGTCATGAACGCGAACATCCTCTAGATGCGGATATGTTGTTGAGTAATCTTGTATCTCTGGCCACATGGAATCGATCGGCTAGCTAGCTTAGCCTGATGTGTATAACTTTGCTCCAAGTATCAATCGATCTACTCTAGGGTCTAAGCCTTCGCTAAAGATTTGGTATGTGTACACGCACCATCCGATACGACCGAACCTCTAGTACTATCTAATGTACAGCCTGCTTCTTGTTGCATTAGAACAATAGTCAACGATTGAAGAGATCAACAGCAGAGTAGTCAAGCTTCCCTGGTAGTAATCTTAATTTCGTGGCTGGCGAAGAGATGGGTGAGGAGGACCGAAAGAAGATTTGCTCGAGGGAGTGTTTCTATGTTTACAAAAAAAGAGGTTGAGACCTCTTTTTTAGATACAGCAAGAAAACCATGGTTTTAGGCATACCACGCTTTGTAAAACTAAAGTATTTGTCGAAGCCAAACACGCAAAGTATTTAAAACTGAGGTTTCTACAAAAACCATGGTATTCTCATAAAACTCCAAAAATACTAAGCAGCCAAACGCAACCTTAGTTGTTTGGTTGCTTGGTTGATAGGGAGACCTCCTCGTAAGTGCCTCAAGCGCCAGTTGGCTAGATGCCGCCCGCAAATAGCGCTCGCGGACCGAGGCCCATTAGCATGCTCACATGAAGCTCAGTCAATGGTTGACCGGCTGACAATTGACTAGTCAAACATTGACTTTTTGAAAGAAAAAATTACAACAAAAAACGCGAAAAAAAATATCACAAAATTTTGAAAATATGAATTTTAAAAAACACAGATTTGAAAAGTTCATCAATATTAAAAAAAGCATGAACTTGAAAAATCATCAATTTTGAAAAAAGACTACAAATTTGAAAAAAGTTATCTGCGATAAAAAAGTTTCATCGATTTTGAAAACAAATTATGAATTTGACAAAATGTTCATCAATTTCGAAAAAAATCATGAATTTAAGAAAAAATCATGAATTTGAAGAAAATAGTTGAGTTTTACAAAAATCACGAATTTAAGACAAATATATCTCAAATTTTAAAAAGGTTCATGAATTTGGAAAAAAAAGTTCATGCATTTGAAAAAATACTAAAAAATGAAAGAAAAACGAAAAAGGAAAAAACGGAAAGGAAAAAAGAAAACGCCAAGCAACAACCAGAAAATCGAAACACATAAAAAGATGGCTGGTAAGATTTTTTTTGGAGTCTCACAAAGCTTTATTATGGCGACTCAATGCTAACACTGATGAATACAAGTTCGCCGGGCTGGCCTAACCAAATATGACGGCCAAACCCTAGCGATAAATCATACTCCCTCCGTCCCAAAATATAAAAACGTTTTTTACACTAGCATAGTATCATAGTGTCAAAAACGTTCTTATATTTTGAAACGGAGGGAGTACATTGCAAGACTATTAGCCTCTACATTTGAGGTTCTAAATTCATGGCTAAAGATACAAACTGCAAAATCTATAGCTCTAGCAACTATTTCTAACTACAACACCAAAATTAGCTCCATTGTCTTCCTTAATAATATCAACTAACACCTTGCAATATGAGGCAACCACAATCCTTGGAATATACAGGTCGTGTGCGAGAGATTGAGCCTCTCTAATAGCCAAAGATTTCACGACTTGGTGATCAGTGATATTATTGAAAACTATAGAGGCCCTATGGTAAGCTCCTATTTCGTCCGTACAGATCGCTCCCACGACCCCAAAAGATCCATTCCTCGCTACGGATGCATCAATGCTAATTTTCATGAGTCCACGCACTGGAGATAACTAATGTCTCGGCTTTGTGGTTGTTATTTCATGTGACCTAGTCACTGAATTCTACATAAAACTTATGTCGTGAAGATCAAAAACAATAAATTGATCTGTGGCAAACGGTGTTTGGTAGATGTCCTCGTATGTAGCCTTCCTCCCAAAACTCCAAATTGCCCATAAAGTTACGATCATCAACGTGAATTGATCCGCCGAGAAGGACTCGTTCATAGCGAAGAGCCAAAGCTTGGCATTTTCTTCTATCTTCATGATCATGTGTTCAACAATCTCCTCATTAGACAACGGCCGCACACTCCGGGAAGCAGTACAATTGATCAAAGCATGGCGCCGACTCTTTGTTGATCCGCATAGGGGGCACTGATACGTCTCCAACTTATCGACTTTTATAAACACTTTTTCTCTTATTTTGGACTCTAATTTGCATGATTTGAATGAAACTAACCCGGACTGATGTTGTTTTCAGCAGAACTACCTTGGTGTTGTTTTTTGTGCAGGAATAAAAAGTTCTCGGAATTGGATGAAATTTATGGAGAATAATTTTGGAATATATAAAAAATACTGGCGCAAGGAGTTACAAGAGGGGGGCCACCATAGAGCCACAAGTTAAGGTACCCCCTAGAGTGCGCCACCTGAGCTTGTGGGCCCCATGAGGCTCCGTTTGCCCTACCTCCAAGTCCATAAGTATCGTCTTCCCAAGAAAAAATTCAGAGAGAAAGTTCCATCATGTTTTACGATACGGGGCCACCACCGCCTTCAGTTCTTCGTCGGGAGGCGTGATCCGAAGTCCGTTCGGTGCTCCGGAGAAGGCAAATCATCGCCATTGTCATCAACAACCCTTCTTCATCAACAACCTCATGATTCTCATCACCAGGAGTGAGTAATTTCATTGTAGGCATGCTGGAGGTAGATGGAGATGGATGAGATCCATCATGTAATCGATTCAATTTGTTAGGGATTGATCCCTAGTATCCACTATGTTCTGAGAGACGAGGGGAGGGGAGGAACTGCCAAGTCAGTCTACACTTGATTCACCTGTTTTAAGTCAACTTGAGACACCACCACCTGTTATTC